TGTCTCTCGTCTCCACCTTCATCTCTAACATGGCCTCCATTTAGTTTGTCCTTGCCAACAAATGATGACCGTAGAAATATTCTTATTGTGGACCTATTCCTATTATCAAGTGAATATTTGCTTGAGTATAGCTACATAGTTCAATACAGGTTGGACCTATAACTCATCAGGGCCATAATAAATAGCATGTGTTAGATCAGGAACAAACCACTAAAGAAAATATATCGAAACTTACATTACAATTTGTTGACTAGACATAATCAATCAATATAGAATAGGTCCTAATTGAGATGATGAATATCGTCAATGATCCCAATATAACAAAGACTAAACATTCTGAGTACTCCAAAGGAAAATTCGCCACCAATATGAAGAAGAAAAGTGAATTAAGTTGAACTCCTATGGCTAGGATGCACAAACATAGACACAACATGATATAGATATCGAATACATCAATTATTGAAAACATATAATATAGATACAAGTTGGACACAGAATTATAATTTTTATATCTTGAAAATAATGCCAAAAATTAAATAAGTAGAATATTAAGAATAATAAAGAAATGATAAGTCATTAAACTCCTACATTAACTTTGTAAAGATGAAATGAAAATGGCCTATAAATAGTTGTCTAGCATATGATATCAAGAAAATAGGTAAAAATTATTTAGTACAACTAAATTTTTTTCCTTTTTTTTTTCTTATCTTTTCCTTTCCTCTCATTAATTTTTCTCTTGGAGAACTAATTTTTCAATCAAAGATACATATTAGGATAAATATCTCTTACACTAGTTTGAATATGAAAACAATAAAAGAAGATCCTCCTATAGGGAGAAATATCTCTTACTATCAATGCAATGTAGACTGTGAGAGAAAGGTGCCTCAATTTTGAATGCCTAGTCACAAGTTTTAGCATCAAGAGGGGATACGATAGCGCTATGGAGAATCAGGTGTTGATGTCATGCGTTGGCGTTCGACATTGATGTTGAGACAACATTGGATATCATTGTTGAGATACTGAGATGTCGATACAACATAGGGGCATGATTGTGGAGGTAAAAAATTTCAGCATCAGGTGTGAATGTCGAGGCGCCATTGGATGTCGATGTTGATCCACCGTTGAGCTTCAAAGTTAAATCCTAGCCACGAGATAAATACTCAAAATGTTAGAAAATGCTTTGTTGATGTTGTGTAAAGGAATTAAAGGAAATAGTTTTTTTCTTGTTAATAAAAAAATTAAAAAATAAGAATTTATTTTAAAAAATAATTTTTTAATAAAATACTTAGGCACATTTGTCCTATTTTTTTAATATTATGGAAATTAAACATGTCTTTGTCATGTCCAACACGTGTCATACACTGCATGCCTTCTTAAAGAGCGGCGCCAATGCATCATAGTCCTAGGTTTTCTTGTACTTATTGCCATGACCTAGACAAGAAAAAATCATCCCAGTCAAGATTATAATCTTTAAGTACACCAAGAATTTGGACTATTATAACAACATACAATTGGGCTATTTGGTCAACAAACCAGGTGTAATACTACTAATGAAATGATCCCGCACCCATCCTAAATGATATTACAATTATGTTTATGATGATTAAATTTATCATTACACTACACCCAAATATTATTTACTTAGTTAATGCCTCAAAGCTCATGATAAGCATTATACTTATGTATGCACTAATTCTTAAATGTGCATTTGTTGTTAGATAGTGCATGTGATTGATTTGTACAATATGATTTATTAATTATGATATGATTAGAGTTCGTTCTTATGACTGAATTTGTCAAGAGACTTTTAACATCCCTTTTGTGAGCCCTCTTCACCATTATGTTGTACACTCTATGAAATAAATTGTATATATTAAAAACATTTTTTAATTTTTTAAAGAGCTTTACATATGATGGACATCAATTGCTTATCATACTTTTATTCCTCAGCTATTTCTCTTACTTCGCCTACTATAGAAGCCTTACTCATTTAAGTCATTAACTTGGCTGGCTTTTTTATCTTCCATGGTGTTTTGGAGAGGGAGAGAGTGAGCTTTAGAGAGAGAGATAGAGTGTGTGTGTGTGTCACGACCCGACCCGACTAGCCCGAATTAACGGTGCGGGAGCAGACAGTCGTACGGATACCATAACATATAAAAAAACCATTTCATTTAAACTTTTATAACAGAACATGAACATTTTCAACAAAGAGCCATTAAAACATCAACACCAAAGTTGTCCAATTTGTTTCTTCTAAACCACAATAATTAAAACATAAACACATAAACATCAACTTAAACTTCAATATACTCCTTAATTACAATCTATTGACTCGATACACATAATAGAAAATATAAGAAAACCTTTCTTCCTGAGGTCCTCTACGACGGTAGGTGTACTGTCGTCTCGTAGCCATCACTTCTTAATAATATTTCCTGAAAAACATTTCCAATAATAGGATGAGCCAACGCTCAGCAGGTTATAAACATTTATCTTAAATTCATGAAATATTTTTTTTCTTAAACATGTCATTAAGCATGAAAATAAAATAATAAAAGATCATAATAAATATTTATAGGCATGAATTATAAGACATTTTCATAGTCATTTCTTAAAACATTTCCTTTAATCTATCTTCCTTTCTTTTTCATAAAAACTTTTCTTTTCTTTAAATCTTTCCATAAGAATGCATAAATTTCATAATCATAATACAATAAACACCCGTCCTGGAAGTACCAGAGTTTTGTATTGATCAGGTACACATTCATTGGCCATTCCTTTACCATTTGGCTCCGAAGAATCTCATTACCATTTGGCTCCGTAGAACCTCATTACCATTTGGCTCCGTAGAACCCCATTACCATTTGATTCCGTAGAACCTCATTACCATTCGGTGCCCGGATGCAGTGTTAAATAGGCATGGGTTCCCATGCCATGGATGGATGTGGGTAAAGAAGCTAGTCCATGAAATTAAAATTAGGTTAAGATCTTGGAATGTAGGTTCCCTTACAGGCAAATTAAAGGAATTAATTGATATTATGATTCATAGGAAAATAAATATTCTATGCATTCAAGAAACTAAATGGGTGGGAGAGAAGGCTAAGGAAAATGATAGTTTAAGGTTTAAACTTTAGTATTCTAATAGGAGTCGTACTAGAAATACTGTAAGTGTGATTATAGATAAAAGAATAAAAGATAATATCATAAAAATTGATAGAATTGAAGATAGAATTGAAGATAGAATTATAACTTTGAATATTATTGTTAATGATAAGATTATTAATATTATAAGTATTTATACTCCTTAAGTAGGTTTGAATATGCAC